GCACTGTCTTTTCATACCTTCCCCATACTCTGGCTTGTGTGGAGCCTCTTTTGTTGATATTTGGCCTAGTCTGCTGAGGCCTAGACTTGCCCCACTGTCTAATATTTTGGTGGCTGCATATAACTCAGAGCTGTGGGGGAAAAACAAACCAAACCTTAATGCTGACGAGGATGTGGAGGAAGGGGAACTCCTGTGTTATACACTGTTGTTGTGAATGTAAGTTAGTGCAGCCACTGTGGAAGATGATATGGAGGTTTCTAAACTAGAAATGAACCTGCCATAGGTATCTAACATCCCACTACTAGGTATATACCCGAAAGACACAGACTCATTATGGCAGTGAACTACTACCCGCACCACCATGTTTGTAGCAGCACTGTTCACAAAAGGCAAAAATATGGACTCAGTAAGGTCTCTCTCATCCCATTAATGGATAAAGAAAACATTGTATATATGCACAATGGAATATTATTCATTTGTAAAACAAATTCATTTCTACCATTAGCATCAAAATGAATGCAACTAGGAGACATAAGCAAAACAAACCAAGAACAGAAAGGTCAATACTGCATGTCCTCCTTTACACGTGGGAGATAAATTTTATAAAACAATTAACAAAAGAAATGTCTGTGTCAATATTGCTGCAAATAGTTTTGTCAAGTTGTTTTATGCCTTTGTCAAACCAATGGTTAAAATGTTATGCTAACTATAGTTTTAGTGATTTATAATTATTTTAAAGGGTGTTGTGTAAGAGTGAAATGGTCATCTTTCCATTTGATTGTTGATAATATTCTTTGCCTGGTTTACTGCTCAGTGAGGGCTTTTTGTTCTTGTTTTTGCTTTGCTTTATCTTGTTTTACTTTTTATTTGTAGAACTTTATTTGTTGGAGTGTTAAGCCCTTGATTGTAATATAGATTTAAAGTATTATCTCAAAAACTTAAAAAAAAAGCAGAGAGAGAAAATATTATTGTACTAACATTCTATCTATGAATCAAGTTGAACTTGTTTTCTGTATTAATATCCCATTAACATGAAACAATGAAGCATTAGATGGTAACAAAAGTTCTGTGAAAAATAGAAAAGATGATTTATTTTGTTTCAAAATTTTAAAACTGTTTTCAAATGACCAGTGTCTATCCTATATCAGGCTGCCAGGCTTGAGCACTGCCTTCATTCAGTTCCAGGTAATGTGCACCGGAAGGCAGCAGCCCAGGTATTTAGGTCCCTCCCACCTGTAGGACAGACCTGCCTTATGCTTTTGGCTCTTGGCTTTGACCTGATCTAGCTGCAGGTATTGTGGGCCTTTAGGAAGGGAACTGGTATTTGGAAGATCTGTCTCTCTTTGTCTCTCTACCTTTAAGATAAATATTAAGTAGGGCCCAGTGTGGTAGCCTAGTGTCCAAAGTCCTCTCTTGGCAGGCACTGGGATCCAATATGGGCACCGATTTTAATTCTGGTTGCTCCACTTCCTTTCCAGCTCCCTCCTTGTGGCCTGGAAAAGCAGTGGAGGACAGCTCAGAATCTTGGGACCCTGTACTCAGTGACCTGGAAGAGGCTCCTGGCTCCTGGCTTTGGATCAGCTCAGCTCTGGTCATTGTGGCCACTTGGGGAGTGAATCAGCAGATGAAAGTTCTTGCTCTCTGTCTCTCCTCCTCTCTGTATATCTGACTTTAAATAAAAATAACTAAATCTTAGATTTTTTTAAATTAATGCATTGAAGACTCCCAGTATGCAAGAATTTTAACTTTTTGTACTAAAATAAACTTATCCTTTAATTTTGTTTTCCATGAACTTTTGGTGTACTCTGGCATAGCATGTACTGTATAAAAAGGTAAAGAAAGTTACTCATACTCATTTTATTTGTTTTCTAAGTACAGCAGAAAGGAAAGGCAAATAATATTCCTTTGAAGAATCTAGTGCCATCTTCCACAATAAGCTTTTGTGACTCAACAGTGTGTTCCTATCTATAAACTTCCATATCTATAAAACTGATGGAACTTGAAGTCTCTTGAGGTTCATGATATTGTAACTGTATGTAATGTATTACTTCTTTAATATAGTAGACACGATGCAAATTACAGTGCAATATGGGGCAGTGATCTCCCAAAGCCACTAGGTCTTAATAAGAAAAAAATACCGTATTTGTATAATGCACTTTCCTTGAGTATTTACATTTAATGAATATTCTTCACAGATCTGTTCAGCAAATATAGCAGATGGAAATGAAGCACATTCCTGCTTTATGAAGGCTTCGTGTAAGGTGCCTTTGGGAACCCTCTTCCGCAGTTCATATTTGAACTGTGCAGTGTTTCAGAAAAGTAAATGTTTCCTGCTGAATCTCTTGTAGCAGTATTTGAACCAGTCTGCTAGATTGCTTCTGCTGACCTACTCACAGCGTTCATAACTTGTTATTATTGTGCAAAACACTGGTGGTTTTTATTATTAACATCGTTATTATGCTGCTTTATTTATTCAGGTGTCGATCAATTTTCCTGTCAGTGTTTTGTAACAATTTTATTAAAGGTATGGAGAGAAATATAATTAGCCAAGACCCCTGAAGATACTATGAGAGAGCCGGGAAAGTATGCATTCTTATAATGTTTATAACAAAAATATTTCACATCTTCTTAGTTATTTCCAGTTTATGTTTTATTTTCAATTCACACGATTTCTTTATTTGGCCAACATATGTATCATGATAACAAATTATCCCAAAGTGTAGTGACTTAAAACAATACTTTCTGTCTCCTAATGTAGTGGGTGAGGGAGAAGGCTATGAATCCAGGCCAGGCCTAGCTGGTCCCCTGGCTGACGGTTTCCTACAGGCTGACAGCCACGTGTCAGCCAAGCTCAAGCAGCTGCAGGCTTGACTAGAGCATGCTCTGCTTCCATGCTTGTTTCAGTGGGTGCGGGCCACAAATCTCCCTCATTGCCTGCCGTGAGCCTCTCCACAAAACATGGTGTCAGGTGGCTTCATCTGAGCTGGAAAACCCAGGGAGAACTGGGAGAGAGGGCGAGAGGGTATGAGCAAGTACAGAATAACAGCACAGTCTTTAATAACATAGTCTCGTCTCAGGAAGCACTATCCATCACTTGTACTATGTTTAGCAGTGATCCATCAGACTTTGTACCACTAGTGGGCGTGGTACTTGGAGGTGAGGATTGTGGGGTAGGAGGTGAAGGAAAGCATCCAAAAGTTATGATGTCATTCTAAGACCATGAATTTCTGTTTTTAAGATGAGTTCTGTATTTTGAGTCAGATTGCATCCACCTATATTCATGTTCAAAATAGATACAAATACTAAATGTTGGGATAACCAGAGATCTAAGTTAGAAATGTGGACACTGAGATGTTTGCTGTCATTGGCTGGTCTCTGTCCCTTCTTTGTATTCCCCAGACTGCTGCGCCGTCCTTGAAATTACCTGGCGGGGGCTTCTATGCTTGTAACACTGCCACTTTCTACATCTCTTCCTAGACATTGGCTGCAGCTTACTCCCCGCCTCATGGTTGTGCGAGATATGGGTATTTAGCATATTTAAATGTTTAGAATTACTGTTGAAATCACTACTTTAAGGAAAACTCAACTTCTGTTAGCCAGCAACTGTGAACCAGTGTAGGTGTGAGCCAGTTGGTGGCAGCATGCCTGGCTGGCTGCTACAGAACATTTTGTTCATCACCCAGCACCTCTGCTGATGCCAGGAGCACCCAGCTTCCATAGCCCACAGCCATGAGCGGACTCGGGGAACTTACCTTCTTAGGAATCCCAACTGTCCTCTGCCTGGACTTGCGCATTTCGCCTCTATGTTCTTGGCTTTCACTCACAGACTTAATAGAATCCGTGTGAGATTTCTGCCACTTCTTGGTCTCTGGGGCGTCTACAGATTTGTTCTGGCCTTCTTGAATCCTGCTCCTGATCTCTCCAAATCAGCAAGCCCTAGGTTCTTTGCTTATCTCTGTGTACTGGGTAGAGACATCTGTCAGGGGCTCATCCCTTCTTGCGGAGATCACAGCCCAGTACTGCCTCAGCAGAAAATCATTGTTTCCCAGATTTCATTCCGTTTTCTAGTTGTTAAGAGTCATCCTGTGTTAGTGTGCTGTAGTCTTCTGAGTGTTTTTTTAAAGCTTTCTATTTTTGTATGTTAAGCTTCCTTCATTTCCAATATTAAGACATGTTTCTGTTTGTCACCAGTTATTTATTGTTTTATGTGGTATTAGGCTCGGACCACACTCAGACAGTTAACATCTGCCGGAGACAGGATTTTGTGGCATGATACCATTGCTTTTACTCCTTTATTTATTTATTTTAAAATTTCTTTTTATTGAGAAGGCATATATACAGAGAGCAGGAGAGACAGGAGGATCTTCCATCCAATGGTTCACTCCCCAAGTGGCCACTGCCAGAGCTAAGCTGATCTGGAGCCAGGAGCTTCTTCCAGGTCTCACACACGAGTGCAGGGTCCCAAGGCTTTGGACCATCCTCCACTATTTTCCTAGTTCACAAGCAGGGAGCTGAATGGACAGCAGGACTGCTGGTATTAGAACTGGTTCCCATTTGGGATACCCGTGTATTCAAGGCGAGGACTTCAGCTGCTACGTGATTGCACCGGGCCCACTCCTTTATTTTGTTTTAAACGTTATATTATTGAGCCTGGAGGTTAAAGTCCTCGCCTTGTACATGTCAGGATCCCATATGGGTGCAGGTTCTTATCCTAGTGGCCCCACTTCCCATTCATCTTCCTGATTATGACCTGGGAAGGTAGTCGAGGATGACCCAAATCCTGGGACTGTGTACCTGTGTGGGAGACCTGGAAGAAGCTCCTGGTTCCTGACTTGTGGCTACTTGGGAAGTGAACCAGCAGGTGGAATATCTTCTTCTCAGTATATCTGACTTTCTAATAAGAATAAATAAATATTTTTAAAGGTTGTATTATTGATACAGCTTCAGTACTCCCCAAAACATAGTTAATGTGAAAAATTCCATGTCTTGTACGTTTCCAGAAACCACACAGATAGAAGATCCAAGAAAGCAATGGAGAGGGGAACAGGAGAAAATGCTCAAGGACTATCTCTCAGTGGCTCAGGACGCACTCAGGACCCAGAAGGAGCTGTACCACGTGAAGGAACAAAGACTGGCTCTGGCCCTCGATGAATATGTACGCTTGAACGATGCTTATAAGGAAAAGTCAAGTTCTCGCACAAGCCGTAAGTATACTGCCACTGCGGATTTAGACTTTGAGACTGAATGTTAGATGATAGAAAGCCACCTGCATTGCTGGGGAATGTAATTTTGAGCCTTTTCCTGCCTGGACAGGAAGAGCCCCTCAAAGTCATGAGAGAAGTGAGGGTGCACTGTGGATCTGCCTGTCAAAGCCTCAGCCCATCCCAGATGGAAAGTTTCCTGCCTTGAGGATGACATAGACCTTCGGTTTCTGTTCCTCATTCTGGCTCTTATGCATGTATGAGTTAGTTTTTACCTTTTCAGAATGAGGCAAGTAATTTAGCCCCTTTTGCTGCTGTGGTATAATAGCTTTAGTGGAAAGGAATTGGAACTATTATCTAGAATGACCACCTGAGTTGATTTACCTGTCCCTTGTCTCATAAATTAATAACTGGAACTGTCCTCATTAAAAAGCACTGATAATAGGCTCAGAATTTCCACTTAAATTGTAAGTTCCGGGAAACACAGGGCTCTGATAGAAGCTACACCCATAATATACTCCCCCATAGACATAATATATTTAAAATCCCAAAGAAAATTACCTTTTTTGTATTCTTTCCTAAACTTAAAAGATTGCATAGAGGAAAAACCTGAAGACTGCTCTTTTATACTTAGGTGTTTGACAGAATGACGGTGAAATAATTATAAAAATAAAATAAGTATCTCCAGAAATATGAGACATTTTGTTTTCAGAATGAGTAAACTCTGAGCTAAGAACTAGTTATGCATTTTGTCAATAATTTTATTCTTTTTCTTTTTCTGAAGTATTCTCAGGCTCTTCATCTAGTACTAAATATGATCCTGATATTTTGAAAGCTGAGATCTCCACGACACAATTAAGGGTAAGCTTTTGAAGTTATAGTAATGGAAAAACTACACGTAAATTTCAAAAATTTTTGGCTCCAAAGTGAACATTTCATTTCATTGTCCATGAGCTTTCTGAAGTAAATATGTAGGTGTTTTTTTTTTTTCATCTTAAGCTTTTCTTTTGTTCTCAGAAAAAGGTTTGTTTTTTTGTTGGTTTGTTTTTTTAGTTTGTCCACACTTATTGGAAGCAAAATTTTTCTTGAAGTTGGATTTCTTAATTTCACTGATGAGGTCACTGATAGGACTTTTCTGAATCATTCTAGCTACAATAAGTGTCCTCCGGGGCCTCGTGGACCCTGCATCCACTTCCCTGACTTGATACTGTGTCCGAACTGTGTCTGTAATTTTCTGTGACCTATTAGGTGAGAGACTCTATCTTAAAGGAATAAGGGAAAGAATGCATTATTTTTAAAGTTCATTCTTTATAAACCGCAGTACTCAAACTGCATACTTCTCTGGCTCAGGAAATTACTACTTAATATTACAACCCTTTGAAATTTTAATTATTGCACAGTTCTTATCTTTGTGAGACACATTTTACATGGAATAACTACAATAAGCAATTATAGTCTCTGCTTTTAAATCTCCTGTGAGTAATAAGAAAGTGGCAGGAAGAATTTAAAAACAAAACCATGTCAGATTCTCCTATAAATAACCGTTGAAAGGAAGGGGAGCACATCTGAGCTCCTGTATCACAGGAGCTTCTAGGGGGTCATGTTTCCCAGAACTGTCTCCAACGGAACCTCTGGAAGAAGGTCTGTTGTATGCCAGTTACTTTGCTGTTGGTATGAGAGCCAGTTGGGTGTGTGTGTGTGTGTGTGTGTGTGTGTGTTCCTCACTGCACACTTCAAACAGGAGTCATAGGTGCCTTCTCCAGCAAGCTAGCTCCCCTCTGGAAGAGAATTGTCCCTCAATTTCCAAAGGGAGTCAGGTCCAGGGCTTGCCTGAAATACCCAAATCCTCAGATGTTCAAGTCCCTAGTAGTAGAATGATGGAATATCTGCATACAGCCTACAGATATCCTCCTGAATGTGTCAGCTCTAGGTTATGTTGTAGGACACAATGATGAGGGGAATGTCTGTCTGTGTTCACCACAGATGCTGGTTTTTCTTCTGAATTAAAAGAAAAAAAGTTATTTATTTTGACTTGAAAAGCAGAGACTGGGATGGAGAGGGAAAAAAGAGAGGGGAAGGCAGGCATATCTCTTATGCACTGATTCACTCCTCATATGCCTGCCCTGGCCAGGGCCTGGCCAAGCTAAAATCAGTAGCTGAGAATGCAATCCAGGCCTCCCAGGTGGATGGCAGAATCTTAGCTACTTGTACCATGACCACTGCCTTCCAGCTTTTGCGCTAACATGAAGCTAGAATGGAGAGTGGAGCTGGCATTGTAACCTGGGTATTCTGACGTGGCGTATCAGCAGCTTAACTGCTACGTCAGCCCCTGTCTGTCTCTGAGACAGAGTTTTTTTATTCACAGTTGGTGGCAGGCCTGTAGATGCCAAGTCTTCTAATGTAGAAGGCCAACTCTGTAAGACATTCATGCATAATTGTAATAAAAGATAACCTGGCCTGTCTTTCTTGTCTATCCCAGTAAAATCCCTGTGTGTAGAAGTCTTCTTTAATAAATTAATGCCAAAGGAATAGCAATTTACAAATGAACGAATTCTTCATTAGTCTGGTGTCTTCTGTGCTTGCATAACTTGATTTCAGTAGCAGATTTTAAGGTATGGCAATGGTTGCAGCAATATGAAGCAGGTGTACACTGTTTATTTGACTGAATTAGAGGTAGTGGGTCAGCTATTTGGGAACCATGTGTTCAGGAACATCTGTCTGCAACATCTGTTTCCTATTATTTTACATTGTGGTCAAATGTGTTTGTCATCATTGAGTTTTAGTGTTCTTCTTAGTCAAAGGAATACCAGTCTTTCTTGGTATCTACCAAAATGGTGAGAATAAATGATGCTTTCATTATTATACTCATATCTGTTAAATACTTAATTGCTTTGAGAGACATCTATAGTTACTAAGAAGAATGTGAGCATTTTTACTGCAAAGTTTGTTTTATTTGCTCATAACATATTTACTCTTAGAGAGAGAATATTTCACATAAACTGAGCTTTAAATTCAACTGCCTTTGGAGACAAAATTTATGCTTTTTCTGAATAAATAAAATTTAGTGAGTTTTTATGAGAAGAAACTTTGGTGGGCTTAATACATCCACCATTATTTATTAAACTGAAATAGAATGTTGCAAGTATGAAAGGAAGACTTTGGAAATAGAGCTGATTCTGAGGTTATTGATAATCTGGTGCAACTTTTAATTTTGCAAGAGAAGAAATAAAAGCCTCTGTGGTTAAATTAATTGTATTCTCTAAATAAATGAATGGTGATCAGGTGCTGTGACTAACTATCACAGTGTACCACTAGTCTTTGTTTTGGGCAGTTATGCTAAGCACATTGTTAATATGGATTCACTTGGAATTATTTTTAGCACTGATGATAAAAGTTCATCCCTCATTTCAGTCTTGAGAATGGATTTGCAGTCTTGAACATGGAATTTTGAAGAATGACAGTTGATTTTAAGGCTTAGTTTACAGCTATGAATAAAGTTAAAGTAATTGATATGCACATTAAAATATGACATTTTAACCAGTAATCTAATTACTGTATCAAAACTCATAACAGCATGTTTCAAATGAGAAGACATATGCCTTTTGAAAATGTAAACTGCTGCAAAAAAGGATCGTCTCTTGACTAGACATGAGAGATATCTTCATACATGTGCTTTATTTAAAACTGAACTTATTTTGAGTTCTTGTACTGTGACTTAACCTTATTTCAGGGTGAAGGAGATCACAGTAGTTGTCATTTCTCACACTGAAGTGTGCAGTAGGTGGGGCTGTTCTTTTAGCCTGTTTGGAAATGAATTTGTATCATAATTGTGTCAGGTTAGAAAATAGTAAAACATCTCTTGATCTGGCCCTATGCTTCCATTGCTCTGGTCCTATCCAGGACAGGCAATCCCCTGAGCATGTTCCCTGTGTATTGCTTAGGTGGGACAGTGGAGATAGCAGTGTTGTTTCTGATTTGTGTCCTTTCGGGAGTTCCAGGAGAGGTGAGGTCTAGCAGTGGTGGAATGTGGGCAGAAAGGCCAGGGAAAGGTGAATGTCTGCAGCTTTGTGTGTCCGGGTTATTCATTGCATGTCTCTTGGGATAACTTATATTGTTGGGGAATCCGGAGCATAGGCCTTCAGCTTAATGGATGGACTTGAGGATAATGACCATTTGTTCCTCTTGGGATTATGATTGGTTGGATTATGTTTGGATTATGTTTGGTTGGATTATGATTGGTTGGGTTATGATTGGTTGGATTGCCATATGGACTTGTTTGCTATTTCTAGTGTGCTCTATTATCACCAAGCTTGGTTAATAAAGACTTCTTAATAAACCTTTAAAAAAAAAAGAAGAAAATAGTAAAACAGGCACTGGCATTATGACCCAGTGGCTTAAAGCCCTTGCTTGCAACACAAGCATCCCGTATCAGAGTGCCAGTTCAAGTCCCAGCTGTTCCACTCTGACCCAGCTGCCTGATCATAATGCTCCTGGAAAAGCAGTGAACATTAGCTTAAGCACTTGAGCTGCTGCCTCCCTCAGAGTTCTAGTCTCCTGGTTGTGACCTGTCCGAGGCTTGGTCCTTACACCCATTTGGGGAATGAACTAGAAGAAAGAAGATTCTCTTTCTGTTTCTCTCAAATAAATAAGCCTTAAAGAAGAGAATAATGCAGTAAACTTAAGAGAATTTTAGAAGAAATTAGGAATAATATGACCTAACTCTCATTTGCAAAAGAAAGAAAACAGTGGCCCAGCCCAGTAGTCTGTTGGCTAAAATCCTTGCCTTGCATGCACCAGGATCCTGTATGGACACTGGTTGTAATCCTAGCACCCCACTTCCCATCCAGCTCCCTGCTTGTGGCCTAGGAGAGCAGTGAGGATGGCCCAAAGCCTTGGGACCCTGCACCCATGTGAGAGACCCAGAAGAGGCTCCTGGCTCCTAGCTTTGGATTGGCTCAGCTCTGGCTGTTGTGGCTGCTTGGGGAGTGAATCAATAGATGGAAGATCTTCCTATTTCTCTCCCCCTTCTCTATATATCTGCTTTTCCAGTGAATCCTTTTTTAAAAAAAATAGCAAGATTTACCGTAAGACAAGAACTGATGTTACCTCTGTGGTGACATGCTGATAAAAATTGAGTGTTTAAAATCCTTCGCACAATAATGACTTTTTAAAAGCACACTCAGAGTTTGAATAGAATAAAACTGTGACACTCACATTTATTGATTTTGTAATATTTTGCTTCTTTGTAGTGATTTTGGTCTTTTTTTAACTTTGAAGGGCACTGTATTGCAGGCTAAGCAATAAATGCTCAACAATAAATCCTTCATTGACAATGTGTCATTGGTGAGGAAACAGATTCTTCTCACCTAGTAAAGCAACCTCTCCATTTTAATTCTTTTTTTAAAGAAGATTTATTTATTTTGAAAGAGTTCCAGAGAGACAGAGAGAGACAGAGAGAGAGAGATCTTCTCTACCTGCTAGTTCACTTCCCAAATGATTGTCAATGGCCAGGGCTGAGCCAGGCTGAAGCCAGGTGCCAAGAGCTTCATCCATTTACCCCAGATGAGTGGCAGGGGCCCAAAATCTTAGGTTATTTGTTGCTTTTTCCAAGACCATTTAGCAGAGCAGGATCAGAAATGGAGCAGTTGGGATTGGAACTGGCATCCATATTGAAAACTGGTGCTGCAGGCAACAGTTCTACTGCTTCAACACAATGAGGGTATCTGCATTTTGATTCTTAAAATACTTATATCCATCATGCTGTGGACTTTTTTTTTTAAAGATTTATTTTTATTATTTTTTATTGGAAAGGCGGATATACAGAGAGGAGAGACAGAGAGGAAGATCTTCCATCCGATGAT